GTCCCGGACAATTATTTCTAAGTCTTATGATGGAAACCAGATGTGGAGCAAGAAATTCCACGGACTAGCGGAATGCAAAAGGGTTCACCCAAGTTGTGTGTGTATCCTTTTGATTATTTTCCTTCTTTATTGCATGTTCGACCAGTCGACATGCTCATGAAAATACTCTATAATAGCTGAAAACCTTCTGTAGAAGAATGTCTGGCCTCAGTTTCCAGTGGGCCAGTCCCTCAACTGCTTGAGCGGTTAGTGATAACTTAAATGAGAGCTAACCCTTCAGACACAGGAACTTGCACTGAAAAGCAGGTTACACGGACCGCTTGCAACACAGAAAATATAAACAGGTGAGCTAAGACGGCAAACCCGATCTTGACTTTGGGCAATGTTTTCCCACCACATAAATCCTTCTGTTGACATGCCTTAAGCACGCAACCCAACACCCTCGGGAAAAAAAAATGTTTTGTTTTGATAAAGACCCTAGTGTAAAGACAAGACCCACGAATAATTCCCATATCTGGGCTTGACTGAGTTGGCTGAGTGTGGTGAATTTTACCATCTGCTCTAAAAAACATCCTCAAAGCCAACACCTGCCAGGAGGAAAGGTGATCCGAGGGCCTCGCCGTGGCCTCTAGTGAAGGGAGTTGGCCTCGGGAATGTGGACTCATAATGCCACAGTAGCAGAAGCCAAGCCCCAGCATCCCCCGCACGAACCCACGCACTCTATTAGTCCACTTGGTAGGAAAAACCCGACCCTGTCCCAGTACCAGCTGCGGGATCAAACTGGGCTAGAATGGGACCAGATCACCCCTAGACCCGGCGGACCTGGAGCCACCCCTGCTCCTACGTTTCCTCCTTAACCAGCGCCCAGCCAATGAGAGGCCACCTCCGCTCAGCTCCGCAGCCGCCTGCGCCCGCATCCCCGCAGCCCCTGCGCGAGCGGCAAAGGATGCCCTCGGGCTGGAGGGTCGCGGCTACTGCGACGCTACCCGTACGCATAGAGTCCTCCCCGGTGCCGCCCCGCTACTCCAGGTACCTGTGGGGTCGCCTTCTGCCCAATACGGGCGCGTCGCCGCCAGAAAGCACAGAAGCAGGAGCCGGCAGTCGGGCGCCACAAGCGCCCTCAGGCCAGTGAGTGAGCGCATGACGCGGGCGAGTCGGTCCTGGAGGTCTCTGTTGCGCCCTTGGCTTGCTGCGATCCGTCTCCTATCTGTCGCTGCGCGCACTTGCTGGTAACCGGGCGCCCACTGCCAGTCCCGGGGCCAGGACACGCGAGAAAAAGCGGAGTGGGAGGGGCCCGACCGCCCTGGCCTCCTCCCCCGAGACGCTCCCAGCGCACCCGAGGCCGGCCCAGCCTTGCGCCGGCCCTTCATCAATTATGCAGCCCGCTGCAGGCGCGCCCGGATGTGCTGTGTAACCCCTGCGCAGCATCCTCTCCCGCCCCCACCCTCTCGACTTGCCCAGGTTGGGGAGGCAGCTAGCTAATCGAGCCAGCCAGGTGATGTCTAGCCCATCACCTCCGGGACGTGTTCCAACTCCCTACAGACTGTTCTTTGCATCCGTTGGGTGGGTTCGCTTATTTACTTTGATGAGACAGGTGGAAATGACAGGATATTTCTGCTCCTGTACATCTTTAGATTTATTTTTGCCAAACCCGAGGCGCTATCCTGTGTCCCTGAGCCCGGAACTTAATGTTCCTGGGAGCTTCCTATCAGTCATTCACACCCTCCCCCAATCTCTGAAGGTTTAGCTAGTTCCCTCCGGATTAAGGTTTCAGAGTCCCAAGGCCCCGTAGTGTGTCTCCTTTTGTTTGCTCGTGGCAACAGTTTTCCTGGCGCCAAAGAGCTCAAGAAACAAAAACTAAGTAAAGGGGTACTATGTAAACTGCAGAAGGCCATTCACCTTTGTCAAGCATTGTGGAAAACAATGTTATCTCTTATCTGTGAGGGACCTGAGGTTGGAATTTTCTTAAGTCTTTCACCAAATGAATTAAGATAATTGAAAACCATTGTTTTGCTGGTCAAGGGAGAAGGATCCTATAGTCTAACGCAGCAGCCTTACTTAGCAGTCCTTACTGTAGGGACCTCCAGGTAAAACTGGAGGAAGGAATTTCAGAATGAGACGGTGAGAAGCACAGCTGGAGTTAATTACAAAGGAGTTTTGCTCAGGGTAGATTTAAATTCGAGGGTTAATACAAAGGATAAAACGCACCCGACACCGTGGGGAGTGGGTGGTAGTTCAGAGCTGTGTCTTAACATTAACCATCCGTACCATTTTGGTGACTATCAAGTTACAGCTCAAAGGACTACTAAAGAAACATTTTTTTTTCTTTTATCCCGCTTTTTTGTTAGGTGAAATTAGAGGGTGGCTCCAATGGTGCCTTAGGTGGAATTACAATCTGATAAGATTCAAAGATAGACTGCAAGCCGTCTACTGGATAGTTAGATCACTTCTTTTTGCTGTAAATAGGGTTTCATGTGAAATTGCTGGAAAACTTCAGGTTTATACATGGAAAATGAGAAAGGCCATATACACTGAGGCGTTGAAGGGTGATGCATTACTTCTTTTACATTTTTATTTGAGGTGTAGGAAAGGCCCTAGCAGGCCCAGGCCTGACAAACATGGTTCTGGCAACCTTGCCCATCCTCCTTCCCTCTCCCTTGTAAACCGTAGATTACAACCCTAAAGCAAGCCCCCAAAACCTATTCCCTTGTTTAGCCAATTTCTCCTTCTGAGGCTGACTATCAAGGTCCAGCTATCAAAGTATTGACATCCAGCAATCAAAAGCCCCCTTTGGTTCACCTAATTAATATGTCCAATGGAAAAAAAAAAAAAAAAAAACGGCGTTGGTGGCGCATGCATCCCAGCACTCAGGAGGCAGAGGCAGGCAGATCACTGCGAGTTCGAGGCCAGCCTAGTCTAAAGAGTGAGTTCCAGAACAGCCTCCAAAACAATACAGAGAAACCCTGTCTTGAAAACCAAAAAGAGAAAAAAGAAAAAAAAAAGTCCAATCAAAATATACCACTGCATCCTAGCCCATTCTAACACAGACCTCCCCTTTTTCTCTTAAGAATGACACCTGCAAGTCATTTGCTGCTGTTTTTCTGCCTGAGTCAGAAAGCAGTCACTTTAACTCACACACCACTCCCCACCCCCCTCACCCCTCCCCCATTAAAGGATCTCTGTGAAAACAGGTGTTTGGTGCTGTTTATGCCTAATTCAGGGTCGGCCAGGGGTGGGGGAGCCCACACTGTGCAGGGGGGTTTCTTCTGTATATATGAAAACAGTATTTTCTCTGTATTAGCAGTCTTCACAGCAAATGTTAATTGTGATGATTTCTTGACTCCTAACTGAGGCAAGACTTTATAAGACTCCAAGTGAATAGCTTCCTTTCCTTCCCTTGTTTGGCTAATTTTCTGTCTTCCTGCCTTGGCTCCCTAAGACTTTGTGGGATATTATGACACAATAAAGATTATAGGAAAGGCGGTGGTGGCGCACGCCTTTAATTCCAGGACTCGGGAGGCAGAGGCTGGTGGATCTCTGTGAGTTCAAGACCAGCCTGGTCTACAAGGGCTAGTTCCAGAACAGCCTCCAAAGCCACAGAGAAACCCTGTCTCGAGATTACAGGAAAAAAAATGGTTTTAAAGTTTTTGTCTGTGTGTTTTTTAGACATCACCAAGCTGTGTTGATGAGGCTGTCCTCCAATAGCTGAGCTCAGGCAGTCCCTCAACATCAGCCTCTCACCACAGCAAGACAACCACAGCAAGCAAATGAGCGTGCGTGCATGTATGCGTGTGTGTAAAATATTTCTCAGGAACTGAGTTCCTCCCCTCTTCACTCATTTTGAAAATGTTTATTTTGTGTATGAGTATCTTGCCTGCATGTATGTCTGCACCATGTGTGTTCCCAGTGCCTATGGGAGTCCAGAAGAGGGCAATGGACCCCTTGGAATTGGAGTTACAGATAGCTGTAAGCATCCTATGGATGCTGAAAATTACACCCTAGTCCTCCAGAAGAGAGCCAGCGGTCTTAACTGCTGAACCATCTCTTCAGCACCATGCCCCTTACTCTTAAAAAAAAAAAAGCTAGGTTTGATAATCATAAATTCAAAGCGTATTTTTAAAAAAGACGATTCCTCAAAAAGGATACTTTTTGCAGAAAGAAGCTGATGGTATAGACTAAACTACTGAACAAGAGACTATACTTACTCCAGGGAGCCACCATTAATTTTTAATTGTTATATGCATATGGAATAGGCATGTTCCTGAGTTAATCTCTCTCTTTCTCTCTCTCTCTCTCTCTCTCTCTCTCTCTCTCTCTCTCTCTCTCTCTCTCTCTCACACACACACACACACACACACACACACTAAATAAATAAATAAACCTCCAGGAAAGAATATGGCTTCTGGTTGGGCTATGGTAGAACACACCTTTAATCCAAGCACTTGGATAGCAGAGACAGGTGGATCTTTGTAAGTTCGAGGTTGTTCTGGTCTACAGAGTGAGTTCCAGGACAGCTAGGGCTACACAGAGAAACCATATCTCGAAAAACCCAACAGATAATTGAGAAATAGATAGACAGATCATAGGTACATAGATACATAAATAGACAGAGCTTCTGTAAGTTGTTACTAAAGAACATGAATGAAACAACTCGTTGAGCAATATTAAGACCTATCTGCTGAGTACCAGGTACTGTGTTTAAAAGGGACTGCACATAAAGTAAATAACACACACACACACACACACACACACACACACACACACACAGTAACTGACTTACACAGCCATTTGTCTGTGAACCACAAATCCCTGGACTCTTTTGAGTTAGTCAAAATGTGGACCCTGGTGGCCCCATAAAGGTAGGCCCAGCCTCCTACCTCAATAGGCCATTTAACAGGATAAAGGAGAGTCAATGGGATCACACTGGGACGAGGAGCAAAGTGATGTAGAGATGCACCCATGTCCATTTCAGGTTCTGACTTGGGGTTTGGGAATAAATAGAAGACAGGAGGTATGCAGAATTAAGCAGTCCCTTAAATTAAGCTCACCCAATCCTGCCATCTTGCTTCAGTGTCTCCTGCAAGGTGGTCTGACAAGTTGTCAAAACTAAGTAAAATCTCTTTCCAAGACACAGGTTTCTTCTCCTAAGAATCCCAGGAAAATTCCAATTACTTGATGACCCTTATTTCCATAGTCTGTTAGCCCAAGGGAGGGGCACAAGGGTATTTGTTCTTTCCTGAAAGGGCAATTATATTTGCAGTCAGAAAAATGAATGTTTATAATGATTAAGCCACTCTCATCAAAGTCTTATAAGACCCGGAGGCCTGCACCTTACATACCATGACCTTCCCAGGGCCTGGGGTGGGCTAGCTAAACCCAAATTTCCTGAGCAATGACTGCCATTTCACACCAGTCAGCTGCCCAGCAGTGCTAACTGCTGCCACTTCCCTGCACCTGGGGAGCCTTTAATTGCAAACCATTCTCAGGCCTGACCTTGGTTGACCTCTCTCAATTAGTCTTACAAAATTCATCTCAAATTCACCCTCCCTTGGATGAGCTGACCCTAGCTAAGGAAACATTTTCATTTCAGTTGAATCTGTCCCTTTATCAACAGGCAGCAGTAACTTGCAAAAACCAAGGTTAATTCCTGTGGTCCTTTTTGTCCTTTGAGCAAAAGAAGTTGAGAAAGAAATATAATTCTTGTTTCAAGAAGCAGCTGGAGACTCTTTTCACCTTTGGTACACTTTTACATCTAGGTGTACTCTGTATGGTTTGGCCTAGTCTCCATTACACGTTTTCAAAGGCTTGGCATCTTATACAGCCAGATAATGGGCTAATTTACCTGTCCAGCTTTCCTGGCCTTTCTACTTAGAATGGTCCTTTCCCTGCCTAACAAATGAAATGTGGCCACAAACACTTCAGCGCTCTCTCAGTGTTGTGAGTGAGAGCACAGAGGTCCTGTCTCCTTTCTTGACATGAACACTAAACTGAACGTTGTCAACGTAACCACATGGGAGCCTTCAGATCTAGGGCACAAGCACATCTACTTCCTTTCTCTTTGAGGAGTGCTGCCAGATAAAGGGGTGTTTCTCTGAGATCCACCATGCAGTGAGAAAGGCAATCTTAGGATCAGTACAGATAA